CAGGGTGCTGTCATGGATTTAGAGTTGAGTTGAAAATCACCAATCTTCTGGGATGGAAAGCGCCTTTAAGTCAGGGCAAATATCTCACCACTGTTTAGCAGAGACTCACTTGCCATTGCAACACATGCCATCATGATCTCTTTGAACATGAAGATAAGTGACTACAGCATACGAGCAGTAAGAGCTAAAGACTTAAAAGCACTCTTAGGAGCAGCCACACTCCTTTTCACAGATACATCTTCATTTTCTTCCCAAATGCCTTTATTAATGTTAGTTGTACTTAAAATCTTTATTATGAATTTCTTTCTATAGCTCTGCTGAAAGGAAGAAAGAAAAGAAGGATGGAGGGTAGGAAGAAAGAGAAAGAAAGAAAGAAAGAGGTCAAGTAGAGAAGGGGACTCTAGTGTTGATTTAAGAAGTGGGTACGTGAATAGGTTTTTGGATGAAATTGGGGTATTTTAACTCAGGGCAGAGTTGACTGTCTCCAGTCCTTCCTAAGCTGTGAACCCTATATCTCCCATGAGCTACTGCTGAGTCTCTCTTACTACTGATATCACCTCATTTTCAGGTATGTTTGACTTTCTCTGTTACTATTGTCATTGTCACTGTCCAGAGTTTCACAAGCTATCATATATCTGTTTGATGTCAGGGATTTCTGTTAATACACGAAACCCAATTCAAAACAACAAAAGAAGTCTTTACCATATTATATACCTACCTAGTACCCTTCCAATTCTTTACAGACAAAATGCAAAGTCATCACTGTGACTCTTAATTTCATATTAGTAAGCTAAAAGCCCATGGCAGTTATAACTTTAGTTGACTGACACTGCTGTAGCTCTATACCATATAACATAACTTGAACTTCTCACATATTAACCACAATCCAATTACATTTATGATTAGAACTAATGTCAAACTACAAACATTTATCATGTTAACCTTTGTTAGTGTACAGTCAGTAATGTGAAAACTGATCCTAATGTACTGCAGCTGGTTTCCAGAAGATTTCATCACAAACCCAAATCTAGGTACCCATGAATAATTTTCTACTTCCATCCCTGTCATTCATCATTCTAGTGTCCTTTAAATTTGCATTACATAATTAATATATTGTTGGGATGGTATGTCCATCTTAAATAGAATATATGTGTAGAGATGAAAAAATATGTTTTGGGAACTGGGTCTCTTCTTCCAACATGTGGGATCTTAGATGAAATTCTAGTAATTGTAGTCACTAGACTAGGTACAAAGCACATTTACTTGCTGAACAGTCTTGCTGGCCCTCATAATTTTAGTTTCCATATATTCTTTGTCAATCCCTATAATTACAAGATAATCATGCAGTAGTATAACTAGTCATAAGACTTAACATGAAGTCCGCTATGTTTATCTATGATGTAGCATGTATAAACATTCTTTTCAACAGATAAATGCTATACCGTTGTATAGATTAATCATCTTGTCTTCATGAGATTTGTTGCTAATGGATGTGTGGAATGAGTGCATCTTTAATCTATTTTGAGTGATTCTACTGTAAAAGTGACCAAAGACTTACCTCATCAAGAAACAGGTTTTAAATCTTTTTAAAATTATACCAAGAATTGAAATTTGTAGATGAAATAGCAATGATCCTTTCTGTGAAAAAGTATTTTCTACGCATAGGGCATCTACACCATAATAACTTATTTTAGGAAGGTATTTATAATAGCAACAAAATTCATAAGAAAAAAAGCATAAGAAACAGGTTACAACAAATCCATTTATTTTAGGAAGGAAATTATTACAATTTAAAATGAATTCTATAGAGTGCATAGGAACAGCCATTTATGTCATGTTCTTCAAAGAAAACTTCAGGGATACAAACAAAATTTTTTCCCTTAAATATTTCCATACATAAAATGACAACACGGCCACTATATTACCAGACATAATGATGCCAAATATTCTTCTACAACTTGACATGTTGATGAACATACAAAGAGAGCAGGACTGTAGCTCCGTGGCAGAGTACTCATGTTTCATTCATTAGACTCTGGGTTTGATCCCCAATACTTCTAGTACAATAAAATTCTTATAAAAGAGAAATGAGACAAGCTTGACCATGGCAATTTTAAGTATTGTGCATGAGATTGTAACTGTACATTGATTATAAGAATTATCATTATTAAACAGAAAAATTTGCTATGAAAACAAAATCTTTTTAAAATTTGATTTGTTTTTAAATTTTTAATTATTATACGTAGTATTTGGCTTCATTATGACATTTTCAAACAAATTTATTTCTGAGCCTCTTCTTTCATTTTTCTCTTCATTCTCTAGACAACTTACCTCTTACTCTTACCTCTCTCCATAGCCTTTATAATACTTTTCAGTTTATTGACACATTGTCCTATTACCTCCTCTTGATTCCTCAACACCTATCTTCCCCTTACCTTTGATTTCTTCTGGTTTTGTATCCCAAACCACTTTTCTCTACACTTATATACATATGAACATTGTGATCTATGTCTTTGTTTGATAAAGAACATGTTTTGCCCTGAGTCTGTGTCACCTTGCTGAATTCTTTGCTAGTCTATCTAGTTTCTAAAGATTATATGACTTTATTTTCCTTCACGGATGAACAAAATTCCACTGTATATGAATTACACTCTTCTGTTATTTTCCCATGTACATCTAGGATAGATATCATTTCCTTGCTATTGTGAAAAATGCAACATTTTACATGGATGCATCTCTGTTTTAGGACACAGTATCTTTTAGGTATAAGGACAAAATTATATAGCTGTGTTATATTGTAACACTATTTTAGTGATTTGAGAACTCTGTGTCTTTATTTCTATAATATATGTAGTATTTTATCCTCCTACCAATATAAAATGAGAATTTTGACACATCATTGTCAACATTTCTCATTGGTTACTCTCTTAATGTTAATTATTCTAAGGCATGTGATGAAGTCTCAAAGTATTTGTTGTATACATTTCCCTGAGAGCTAAATGTACTGAACACTTTAAAAAACCATTTACTGCACATTTGTGCTTCATATTAAGGAAATACTTACTCAATTCATTAACTTCTTTGTTGACTGAGAAGTTTGTGGAACACTTAATCTTTATTTTCCTTTATACGTTCTATGTTTGAAGCTCCTGGGTGAAATACAGAAGTCAATGATTTTCCTTCCACTAAGTAGATTATATGTCTACTTGGCTGGTAGTTTACTTTAATGTGCATAAATTGCCAATGCAGTTACACATTAATTCTTGGTGCATTTCCTGTGCTATTGTGTTCTGTTGCCTCTCTGTATCTTATATTACTAAAATATTCCTATGAGTGTTTTAACACTTCAGGTTTAAAATAATTTAACATTAATTGTTATGGAAGGTGAGGAGATATAGAAACAATGCAGTATGTCTGCATATGGATATCAATTTTATATAAATTTACTCAGGATCAGAAGGTCTGAGCCCCTAGTCATACCAAATATTCAAGTAAGAAATGATTGTATCTTTGGAAATTCTTCCTGAGAACTGCTGAGACTCTGGAGGGCAATGACAGGGAAAACCAGACTCATGATATCCTTACTCAACATTGGTCATTTCCTATGTGACTTTTTATTTTCTCATGTGCCTAGATCCTTGTCCAGAATTTGCCATTATTGGTAACAAGATTTGATGACCCAATATGTTAGAAATGCAGTAACACTAAGATTGGAGGTTGGTAATTGTTTTTTCAATTTTGTTAAGAAAATAGCATGTATAAGTTCTACAACACTTTAATTTGTACAAAGTCTTCATTATGGTTCTTATTTCTCCCCATGCCCAGCATTTAAGCTTTTGCCTTTATTTATGCAATTTTCAATACCTTTTTATATTGTATATGAAGATCCCTCCTTGGAAGTTTGATTTGCTCCCTGTCACTGTAGTCCCTTAATTATTGGTGACATGGAGCCTCATTTTACAGACATTTTGGAGACTTCTGTATTGTCTAGAGGAACTTCATTCAAATCATGAACCCATTTCATTTGTTTTATATTAATGTTTATTAATTCATTGAGAATTTGGCACAATTTAGTTTTTGATGATATCTACCCCTCAACTAACTACTCCAAGTTCTGCCCCTAATTCTAGGTCCACCCACCTTTAGTGTCCTTTAAAAAAATTAAATATGCTGGGTGTGGTCCACATATATTTGGGTGTGCTTCTTTCCACTAGACTATGGGACCATATCTTTAGATTTAATTATAAATATTCTTTTTAGGGTAGAGAAATGAGTCAGTGGTTAAGAGTGTGTACTGGTATTACTTTTGAATATGAGTTTATTTCCTAGCTCCTGCCAGTGGTTCACAATTGTCTACTAATACAGCTATAGGAGAACGCATCTTAAGCCTCTGGTCTCTGCTTGCATTCACACTCACATGCAACCTCCTCAATACACACATCATTAAAAACAAGACAAATTTTAAAAGAAAATATTACTTAAATATTATGAATATTCAATCACCCATTGTTAATATGATTTTCAAATATTTTCTGTTGTTTCTCTTGATGAAAATTGAACTCAGCTTCATGTGAATTTTAGAAATAATGGCATGCTTTAAAAATTCTTTCTTGAAAATTGATTCAAAATTATTATATTTAGTCAAAATCAATGAAAACATTAGTCTTTTTTGGTTTTTTACTTTTTTATTTTTTGAGAATGTCATTCTCTATATATAGCCATGACTGTGCTAGAATGGCCTCTGTAGACCAGATTAGTTTTAGATTCATATCTGCCTGCCTCTGTGTTTTAAGTCATAGGATCAATGTGTACACCACCACATCCGTTAAAAATTTTAAACTTTAGAAAAATATGCTATATTTTTCATTGTAATAATATAGAAATATCTACTTTTATAATGAAAAATATTAAGTATTCTTTTCAGTGACATAGCTATACAAATGCAGTGAAATTATAAATGTTTTATTCAAGCTAACTTCATGAAACAGTGCAAACTTAATTTCCAGGGTATATTGACTATAATAAATTCATTTATCCTTTTAATATGAAAATGACTCCTGAAAACTTGCCAATGGGAATATTCCTCTTCTCCCAGATTACAGTGGGAATGCTTGGCAATTCCTCAATACTATTTTATTATGTCATTTTGATATTCACTGGGAAGCATTTAATGCCCAAAGACCTGATTATAGAGCACTTGACTTTATCCAACTGCTTGTCCATCATCTCAAAAGGCATTCCACAGACACTGTCGGATTTTGGACTTAAAGACTTCCTGGATGATATTGGATGCAAAGTGATAATGTATATTTACCGAATAACAAGGGGGATGTCAGTTTATGCAATGTGCCTATTGAGTTGCTTCCAAGCAATCACAATCAGCCCCAGCAACTCCAGGAGGATGATGCTTAAACACAGAGCCATCAAGTACATTGGTTCCTCCTGCTCAGTCAGTTGGCTTGTGCATTTGCTTCTAAACATCATGACTCCAGTAAAAGTGACAGTCCCCACTTACAGCAAAAATATGACAAGCATGAATAGTTATGGGTACTGCTCATGGTATGCTCCCAGCAATCTGACAACTGCACTATATATGTTCTTATTGTGCTTCTGTGATGCCCTATGTCTGTGTCTCATGGCCTGCTCAAGTGCCTCTATGGTGAGTATCCTCTACAGGCATAAGAGACAAGTCAAGCATATCCATAGTGCTCAACACTTTCTGAAAGTCTCTCCTGAGGACAGAGCCACCCAAACTATTCTTATCCTGGTGTGCACATTTATCATCTCTTATACAATCTCTTCTATACGCATAATCTTTACAACCTATTCCAAAGCTTCAGTGGTTTGGCGAGTAAGTGTATTTATATTTCTAGAAATATGCTTTCCCATATTTTGTCCCTTTATTCTCATCAGCAATATCAAGTATAATTTTCGATTGTTTTTACCCTTCTGTGGTAAGAGATAGCTCCCTCCAAATACTGCATGAGACATGGTTGTCTGTCTTATATATTGCCATATTCTTTTATCAATTGTTGAACACTAAGGCTGCAATTTGAAAATATCAATCATCTTTTAAATGACTCCTATTGACATGGGTTTTGATTACTAGGTATTTTATCATACAGTTTGTTTTTTACAGCATTTATTATCCAATAATGAGCAATTTTTCAAATACATAGAATCATCATAATATTCAAATTATTATAAAATATTACACAAAATGTAGGAGAACATAAAAAATACATGGGGACCAGTCCTTATCTATAGTCTGTAAACTCAAAAAATGATTTATTGACCTATCTGTCTCTCTGTATCTGTTTTTCTCTCTGTCTGTTTCTCTCTCAGATGAACATACAGACATAAACACAATTATACACACAGACATAAACACACATATTTATATACATACTAATATATACATGTGTGTATGCCTTTATTTTTATGTGTTTGTGAATTTTTCCTGCATATTTGTCTGTGTACCACATGTATAAAGAGCCTGCAATGGTCACAAGATGGCATTAAACCATGTACCTGTTTGTGTGTCAGTATTGTATAGTGGAATTAAAATCTGCATTTTCTGGAATATCAATCAATACTCTTAACTACTGACCCATCCTTTACAGCATGAGATTCGTTTTATCATTTAAAATTTTATTTTAAGTATATGTGTCTCAGTGTTAGTATAGGCATCACATATATTACCTGTTGCTCATAGTTGCAAGAAGAGCATGCTGGACCTCTGTAACTGAAATTACATGGACTCACGAGCCACCTTATCTGCTTGCTGGGAACTGAAACTCTTTGCAAAATCATTATAAGCTTTACCCACATTGATCCAGCAGTTTTCTATTGCTTCTCAAATATAGCCACTACAATCCTTCAAATATCATCTGATCTGAAAATGTTGTGGAAAAATGAATGAAGAAAACCCCCTTAAAATATTAGTCAGGCTCAGGAAGACCAATATTACATGTACTTTCATGAGAAATCAAGGAACAAAAGGAAATGAGAGTGAAATATTGAGTACTCAGAAATGTAGGCTTAGATTTTTCAAAACCTACTTTAGTAAGGAGGATTCTTAAATACTTCAATCTCCCTTCTAGCCCACTGACCAGTGGTTGGAGAGAAAGATGTTTACTAGGACAAGGGGGATGTGGACCTGTTTAGAACTAGTTCTTTGGGGCATTCCAATCTTTGTTGTCAGGGTATAAGCAGTCCGGTCTAAAATATCAAACATGAATCAGTACCAACAGTCCAGTCCAGTTGGCTAACACCAAGCAAGAATAACTAGCAGAAGTTGGATCCAGAGGAAACCACAAGGATCCTCTGAATTGATGTGAGTCTGCAGAAGCAAGAACCAGCTGAAATCCCAGAAGTTCTTTGGCACATTTCTTTCTACAAAGTTGATAGAAGATTAGTGAAGACCAACAAAGTGTTGCAAGGTATACAAATGCAAGAGTATTGTCAGTGAAGACCAGCAAAAGATTGTGTGGTGAATCAATGCAAAAGCATCTCCACATTATCTGTGAGGTTATATTTAAATTCTTTCTAAACATCACACACCCTCTCAATTGCAGAACATCACATTCCCTCTAGCAAGACAGCTTCCGGAAAAACACCAACACTCTGATTCAAAAAATGTGGTATATTTACACAATGGAGTATTACTCAGCTATTAAAAACAATGAATTCGAGAGGTTCCTAGGTAAATGGATGGAACTAGAAATTATCATCCTGAGTGAGGTAAGCCAATCACAAAAGAACACACATGGTATTCACTCACTGATTATTGGATATTAGCCTAGAACCTTGAAATGCCCAAGATGCAACTCACAGGCCACATGAAGCCCATAAAGAAGGAAGACCAAGTGAGGGTGATTCGGTCCTTCTTAGAAGGAGCAACAAAATACTCAAGGGAGCAAATATGGAGACAAAGTGAGGGACAGAAACTGAAGGAGGGGCCGTCTCAAGACCACTCCACCTGAGTATCTATCCCATGTGCAATCACCAAAGGTAGATGCTGATGTGGAAGACAGGAAGTGCATGCTGATAAGAGCCTGATATGGATATCTCCTCAGAGGCCTTCAAGAGTCAGACATATTCAGAGGCAGATGCTCACAACTAGCCATTGAACTGATCATGGGGTTCTCAATAGAGGAGTTAGAGTGAAGACTGAAGGAGCTGAAAGGGTTTGTGGCACCATGAGGAGAGCAACAATACCAACCAACCACAGCTCCCAGGGTCTAAACCACCAGCCTGGGAGCACTTAGGGGAAGATCCAGGGCTTCAGCTGAATATGTAAAAGTGGAGGGCCCTGCTGGGCATAGGTGGAAGAAGAGAACCTTGACCTCATGAAGGCTGGATGCCCCAGGGGGTGGGAATTTTGAGGGTGGGGAGGTGGGAGTGGGGGGGGGTAGATAGAGGTTACATCCACAGAGAAGAAGGAGGAGGGGCGAGGGGATTGGGGGTTCCGAGGGGGTGGTGGGGGATGGGGTAAGGGGACAACATAGGAAATGTAAATAAATCATCCAATAAAAAAAAAAAACCACCAACATTCTCACCAAACATCCTCTCACATGTGTGCTTCAGCAAAACATCCTTGCCTAAGATAGAAAACACATTACATGACACAATTGAGTTGTTAGAGAAACCAAAAATTTCCACTTCACAGAAGAGAAAAGAACAGGACAGTAAACAGGGGTGGATATAGATGAGATAATGATGGATAAATAAGAGAAAGTAACATAATGCACATAAATGAAAGCACCAAATATAATCCGTTACTATGTACAATCAATGAATGCTTTAAAAGATAAAGTAATCAAAAATGGTCTCCATCCTCTTGACATATTGTGTTTATTTTACTAACATAACCATCTCTACTGCCTCTGTCTCCTACATGCCATGAACTATAACCTCTACTTTGTAAAAGGGTGACCAAAAATATTTCAATTGTGTGTAAATTCTGTTCTTGGAATATATTTTTATCTTCAGAAAAACATGCTTCTGAGTTCTCCCTTTCTCCTGAGGAATTACATTGCTAACGTAATTAATTTGTAACTTTTATTACTAAAAGAAGAGCATTTTTTTCTACAAAGAAGAAATATGTCAAATATGCCTGTCCTTCAGTCTTCTAGAGGATGCACATCTCAATAACCCAAGTACTTATTCCTGACCATCTAAAAGCTCCATCATTTCCAAGGGGATGGTAACATGTAACACATGGAGCTTGGTGAAGAGACTTTCAGAATTTGATGTTAGTGCTATTTGTAGTGCGAATTGTGGTTTAAAAGAAAACACATAAATGTTATAAGAATATGTTTTCATTTTAATCCCAGGTGTGGGATATTGGCCTGCTTCAGATTGTCCACAGCGACTGACTATGATTCACTGAACTCTCTAGCAAGGAGTGTGCTTTTGCCAGCAGCAGATAGTTTCTGCCATTGTGTAGTGTTTGGAATTCTTGGGACTTTTTAAGAAGGTATATAAATGCTAGGGCCCAAGAGACATGGTGGATTGGTAGTTAGATTCTTGGTTGTGGTGGTTGCCATTGGTTGAGGTCTGCTAAGTAGTCATGTACAAAGAAGAAGCAACAACAAGAAGAAATTAGATATCCTAACAGCAACAATCAAACTTGCCTCAAGGAATTCGATGTCCCTAATCAGCAGAATGTAGTCTACTGATAATATCACTCCCATTCCCCTCTATCTTTTTTTCCTCTCCTATCTAGTGTACCTTACTTGACTGACATCTGTATAGGATGTTTGTATATACTTTTAATTTTATGTCATTCATATTTCATCTTTAGTTTATTTCCATTTGTCTTTCCCAAAACAGGACAATTTTCCTTATTTTTGTTTGTATAAAACTGAGTGTATTTTAAAATCTACTCTGACTCAAGTCTTAGTCTATTGTCTAATACGTTATCTGTGATCTTTCTCTCCGTAGTACAGAAATTATCACTTGGAGTAAAGCTACAAATCATCTCAGGTTTTTATTCTCATATTTTGCTTAGTAGTTTGCCTTATCTTATTATGGAATCTTTTTCCATAACAAATATGGATAAAAATATACTCCCAAAATGCAAGGTTGATAAATTCTAATATTAATCTTAATTTAGAGTTTTCCTGAGAATATTTTGTGATGATAATGATAAAAATGTCAAAGATGCTAAAAAATGAGATGGTGCTGCTATATAGATAGAATTAATCTAGGTTTGATAATTCAACTGGAGGTGTATTATGTAAATCTGTGTTTTATGTAGGACATACTAAGCTCTGAGTCACATATGTAGTAACAGTGCTCCATATGGATCATGGAGCACCTCTTTTATTAGGCAAGCACTAAGCATCCATAATGTCCACATACATGAAACAGAATCTAAGTAAAGTTGGATAAAAAACTTCTATTGACTTTTAAAATTTTTCTATTAGCTTGAATAACATTTTAAACAGAAAATCACGTTTAAAACACTTATTAGTAAAAATAACAAAACCTCTCATTTCTTGTTCCATGGAAATAGAAATGTTACTATAATTGTCTGAAGAGTAAGTATATTTATATCTTGGAATGTGATTTCCCATATTTAGCCCCATTGCTCTCTTCAGCAATATTAAATACAGTTCCAACCTGGTTTTAACCTGCTGTGCTAAAATAGCACCCACTAAGTTTGGCATGATCCCTTGTCATCTTTCTTTGCTTATATATTGCCCTGTTCTTTTATCTATTGTATAATGCTAAGACTGCAGTTGCAAAATATTAGTACCCTTTAACTGGCTTCTGGGTCATGAAGTGTGATCACTAGATATTTCATTATAGTATTTTTCTTACAGAATTTAGTATCCAATTATGAGAATTTTTCAAAAAATGTGGAACCAGTGTATTATATAAATTAGTATGTGGCAATATGCAAAGAATAGATGAACATGAGAATATGTGCCTGGGAGACAAGACATCATATGAAGT